TCCCGTGCCTCTCGTTGCCTTTTCCGGTAGCGAGCAGCAGCTTGATTATTCTAGAAATTCGAAATCTTTTTCCAGCAAAGTCATTCAATTTGGGAACTCATTGCTCAGCTTAGATAGAAGATAACACCCCCTTTTTTTTCATCCACACTTTTTGAAAGTCCCACCTGTTGCCTTTTCCTTCGCAAAACCTCCTCAGGGCTTTCCCTCTCTTCGACTAATCCTGTGCTTTTCATCTGCATTGCTTTCACTACCATTTGCACAATTTCTTCGATAGAGATGGCATTCTAGATATCAATTTTTATAGGAAAGAATTAGCATTTTTGTTAAGAGAGTTTTGGAACTCGCTCTCGCAATAGTACTCAGCAGAACTGAAAATCACTTGTGCTCAAGACAAGATACTTACCAAGGGTTCCTCTCGTTTGATATGCGAAGGTAGGAGTATCGGATGCTCAACATGTGAAGGAATTGATGAATTCGCAAAGAAGGGCAACTGCTCTGTGGGTGGAGGCACCACTGAGTACGGAGGAGGAGCCATGCAGACTGAGAACAGCTTTTTGTAGTTTTGCCAAAAAACCTAGATTCTCACCTGCAAGCTGCTCCTGCGGATAAACTGCGTGTTCTGGCATAAAAGGGCCAATGGGGATGGAAAGTGTTGGGTGAACCAAAGGTGATGGTGAAGCCACAGGACATGGCGAAGTTGACGTTGATTCAAAGTCTGATATTGGGCTGGACTGAAAAGGGGGTTAATAATGCAAGCACTTTCACTTTCAACAATCTAATTAACAAAAAATCTTTTGAAGTTTTGTTTATTTTTCAAATCATTCAGACAGCCAACTTTGACATGAATGTATAAGGTTGGCGGATGATTTCTGTACATTTTTTATTGAAAAGTTCCAGAAGCTCTTAGAATTTTCAAGTTTGTTGCTTATGAAGGGTAAGACAGGGCATGCACAACAGTATGACTGATGCCGCAAGTGTACCAATAGCTAGCGAGTTTACGACATGTTTGTGAGCACACTCAAAATAGTAATTTTTT